GGGATGGGTGTGTCAGAGGCGGTGCGGTTGGCGCAGGATAGAGCAGGGTTTAGGGCTGTTGTGCATAGGGTCGCTATGAGTCAGAAACGACTCGACGGCACATAACAACAACAACAACATGGCCTGGATCAGGTGCACGTTAGTCTCTACACTAATATTGTTGCTTTCAGTACACTGGAGAGGTCTCTGACAACATATTTTCCCAGGGCAATTAGTTTTTTATTTCCTGACTGCTTATGTAAATAGTGTTGATTGTGGAGCTGAGCAAGCTGTAATTGTTAAACAACCTCAATCTCTTCCATTTATCATGGTGCTATAAATTGACCCAGGGGTGAGAATAGGGTAAAAGTCATCTAATAATCATCTTAGTAGATTCAGAAAAATAATTTTACAAAACCCAACCCATGATAAAAATTCTCAATAAATTTGAGGTAGAAAATAATTTTCTCAACCTTACACAGGAAAACTATTAAAAACTTCATAGATTTAACTACATTTAAAATCATGCCTAATGGCAAAAGCCTGGGATTCCCCACTCACCAGTCCCCCTCCAAAAAAAAAATCAGGAATAAGACATAGACGTCACCACTCATAAATTCTGTTAAACATCAGCCTGGAAGTTATAGTGAAAACTTTATTCATTTAGACAAGACAAGTCAATTCCATTTTATCAAAGTTCCTTTTTTATTAAAACCATGAGCTCTGATGGCTTAGGGGTAAGGAACTGTGGTGTCAATCCAGAGCCTCCACAGAAAAAAGATGATCAGTCTCCTCTCTTTGGATTTAAAAAGAATGTGTCAACACTACCATTCACTCGGGGAGCTCTGGTGGCCTAGTGGTAAGAAGCTGTGCTGAAATGCCAAAGGCACATGATTTGAATCCACCAGCTGCTCCTCGGGAGAAGGATGGGCCTCTTGTGTGGTTCACTGCTGAAAGCCTCCTGGAGGGTCAGAAATGGGTCAGCTCTGGCACACGACAACAACAACAATCACCATCTACACATATTTATAGGCTCTGAAATTCTCTAAAAGCTCCTAAAACACAAGAAGGATGTGCAAACAATGAAAAAAATAAGTAACATCACAAATGTTGGTGAGAATGAAGGGAGATTTGAACTGTGAAATGGTCCAACCATGACAGCAAATGCGATGGCACTTCCTCAAAAAACTTCCTTAAGATCCAGCAATCTCATGCCTATGTGTATATCCCAGAATCTAGTAAGAGACAAGAAAAGACATGTGTATACCTATTTTCACTGTAGCATCACTCAAGCAAACAAAACAAAAAATAGAAGCAGGCTAAATGTCCTCCAGTGAATGAATGGATTAGTAAAATGGAATATATATGTCAATAGAATATTTTCCAACTATAAGAGAACAATGATGAGCCTGCAAATCACAATTTGGTGCATCTGTAGCACAAAATACTAAGTGAAACAAATCAGTCACATAAGCACAAATACTGTGTGATCCTACTTGCATAAGAATATAAGAATGGACATATGTACAGAGAACAGTGTACACTGTCAGTTACCACTAATAGGAGAAATGAAAAAGGATCATTCTCTAGATCATGATATATTTTCATTTTATGGTTGTGTGAAAGTAACACCAAATGTGGGTATAAGGGACATAGCTTGATAAATAATGTCACTAAAGTGCACAAGAGAAAAGGATATTTGTGATAAAGATTATGACATATATAGTTAGCAACACCACCAGTCAGAGTCAAGGTCATTGCCGCTGAGTCAAAATCTACTCATAACTGACCCTCTAGTGGGCTTTTAGAGGCTCTAAATTGCATGAGACGAGATTGTCCATCTTCAGTTCACAGAGCAATTGCATTTGAGTTTGGGATTTGTATCATAACTCCCTAATCACTAAGCCGCAAGAACTTCCTT